CTAAATTGATACTAAAGATACTAGGGTCAACGATGTTAGGAAATCATACGACTATTATAACATACCGCGAAGCCATTTTAAAAGAATTGTTTGAAAGAAATGCTAATTCTTCAAATCAGTCCGTAAATTGACATTTACTACATTTGCTCGATGTATCATACATATGAATAAAATATGTAAAACAGGGAAAATCCCTCCCTGGCAAATATAAAAAGCGACCAATCACAGACTCGGGTAAGGAGACCTTGCAAGTGTTTCATTTTACCTTTGTTATAATCATCATCATCGCTTTGGCGTTATTTGAAACTTGATGTGATAGTATAAAGACTACTTGTTCATTAAATGCAAACGTTATGCAGGTATGGCCAATGTTCCGAAAAGGGTAGTTAAACTATCATATCGCTTGAATTTAAAAAGAAACTGGTGAATGTGTACATAGCAACATTTGTATTTATATGTTTTAAAGGAAAACTTACCCATTCAAAGTGTCATTATGCTCATTTTTCATTGTCAAAATAAACTGAATTGTACGGGAGCCCTGTGGGCATTTATCATTTAAAATATTATTACTTATTACCTATTCTTCATACCTTTTACTTATTATTTACAGATTATTACTTACATTTAGTATTGCCCCGCACCATGTTTGGCAGGAAAAAACTCTGCTCAGATCAAGACCAATATCGAAAACGGAAGCCCTGGAAGGAAAATTATTTTTTATTATTTATTATTTTTTACTTAATACGTTTAACTTAATTATTAAATATAATCTACTACTTATAACTTATAATTTACTATTTATCACTTATTACTTATTTCAGTCGAATATATCATAGTTACATAACACCGTAATAAGGAAGCCCTGGAGGGACATGTATTATATAAAAAAATATTACTTATTACCTATTATTTATAACTTATTACTTATTATTTACAGGTTATTACTATATTTAGTATTGAAACGCGCCATGTTTGGCAGGAAAAAACTCTGCTTCTTCACCTGTGGACAGGATGATCATACTGTACTGTAATCTGTACACAAGAATCTAAATAAGGATGGTGAAAATCTAAAAAAATAAATATTCTCATAGATTTACTATTCGTAATAAGGAGCCCCTAACGTCTGTGTTCTTTAGAAGAACTGGTGTCACTCAAATCAGTTATTCAACAAACAAACGAAAGGAGTGCCTGTATGAAGTATGCTACTCATTGCGCGGTTACGATTAATTTGTTTAATGATATCTTGTCATACGTTATGGACGGTATAATTACTTGTTTTTCTTGAACATGTAATATCAGTTATAAAGCCAGGCTATATGACCCTATACTAACAGTTGTTTGCATATTTAACCTTTTATGTATATACATATATATTACCCCTCACTTCTTTCGAAATGTTAATTTCACATAGGCCTATGGGAGTTATTCCTACTGTTAATAAAAGTGTACCACGTGACTAAAAAATTTTACAGTATAAAATCTGGTCATGTGGTCTATTTTCTAAATAAAATAAAATAAAATGGCCGCAATTTTTTTTTTTCTCGATTCACTCTTTGACAAAAGGGAATCACCAGGGTAATTATGACCCCCATAAAATCTAGTTGTTTGCACCCTGGAGTGCTTTTCGCTTATAAAATATCTTTTTGTTGAATAGTCAAAAAGTAACATCCGTTTTCAAAGAAAGAAATTGCAATGTGAATTATTATGTATCAAACTGGAACATGCAGACGATTAAAGCATGCAACAAAGGATTATTTAAAAAAAAATTATCAGTGAAACGTTACAGATATGGTGGACAGACATAGGGTATTATCGTTATTTTGTAAATGCACTTTGTCAAAACCCATGCAAATACAGAAGGATCAGATTTCACAGATCGTATCAGTATAATATGTTAGTGGGTTTTTTTTCTAAATAAAACATAACTTATTGTATGTTTATGACTGGTAGATATCATTGCTTGCTTAAAGAATAAAAGAAGAAAAAAACTTCTGAAGAAGGCTTACGGTACACTTAAAACTTAAAAGGTAAGGACAGTTTAGTTATTGTTACTGTTGGTTTATTTTTGTTACAGATAGATTTAGTTAACAATTTTAGACATCACAGTATTTGTTCGGGTAATAAAATAAATAACACATGGGTTTGTGAGTTACAGTAAAAATATCATCCCTCGTAAAAATGCTATTTCTACGGTGGCACAAAGGTGACATGTGTGTGTGTGTGTTTTTATTTATCTCGTGGCCACGAGATACTATGTCGTGGCCACGAGATACTAAGTCGTGGCCACGATATAGCTAAGTCGTGGCCACGAGATAAATAAACAATCAGATTAAACCATTTATGTGAATTTTCCTTATTAACTAGACATGTGCTATAGTACAAGGATGCCCCTTCTTTACCAGCCTGTAAAAGTGCCATTTATACAACTTGTTGACTTGTCAATTATTTTACATTTAGCGTCACTGTGACCCTGATTTTGACCCAATGACCTCGAAAGTATTAGATGTCATCTACTGATCAGGTGCAATGATCTTTCTTGGTTACATTAACCAGGCTTATCCCTTCTAAATTATTCATCAGACAAGGATTTTACCATATAGGCTATTTACTTCCATGGGCAATGTCCCTTACAAATAAAATAAACCAGGACTTATTCCTTCTCATGTTATCGTATATACAAGGCCGTAGTACGTACAAACTGACCAATTCGATCACAAACTTGCCCAACAAAGAGCTATAGTCAAAATTAATGTCTGATGGGCCTTGGAAGATGACTTTCTAATATGATCTTAAAGACAAGTTCAAAGTGAATATCTTCAGTATTTTCAAAGATTAATGTTGCATGTAAAAGAAAGTTGTTAAGTTTAAAAAATTCATAATATATATAGTTTATTCTGATTGGTTAATTATCTCGTGGCCACGACTTAGCTATCTCGTGGCCACGGCTTAGTAACTCGTAGCCACGACTTAGCTATATCGTGGCCACGACATAGTATCTCGTGGCCACGGCTTAGTAACTCGTGGCCACGACATAGCTATCTCGTGGCCACGACATAGTATCTCGAGGCCACGACTTAGTAACTCGTGGCCACGACTTAGCTATCTCGTGGCCACGACTTAGTAACTCGTGGCCACGACAAAGTATCTCGTGGCCACGAGATAAATAAAAACACACACATGTCACATTTGTGCCACCGTATATAACCCTCGGCTACGCCTCGGGTAACAGTATTTCCATCCAACGGGATGATATTTTTACAGTTACCCACAAAACATGTGTTATTTATTTACTGTTCTGCTTGATACATAAGACTTATGTGTAAACAAATTATCAATCTTGATCATCATTATTTTATCATTTAGATTTAAACTGGCCTAGATTATTATAAATTGTATGTAATATTTTTGAAATAATGTTTTATTTCATAAATGTTGGTTTTAATACTATTTCACCTATAACGAGGACAAAAATACAGTTTCCTTTCGAATTCAAAATAAGTCTTTTTTGAGTAGGTGCACATAAACAATTGTATTGTATACTATATCTTACGATACAAAATGCATGCCCCGACAGTTTAATATATGTTCATGTTATGCAATAGATTTTAAATTGCAAATTCGCTATCAACAAGGACATTAATATTACTATGTTTTATATACACTGTATAGGATGGTCTCCATGATTGAATGCATAAATGATACTTTTCTATATATAACATTAAATGTGTCAAGTTAAAAACAGGTAGGATCGGGAACGTACTGTTATTAGATAATGAACATCGTATCAACAACAAATTTTTCAATAGGTGAACTAAAGAAGTGTTTTGAATTTCATCAAATAGTTAAATAATTAAATGATAACAAAATGGGTCTAATATTCAATGTTATTGTTCTAACTGATTTGTCTTAAAGTTTATGATCGATTCTTTTTTAAGCAACAAAAATACCCTTGTTTACTATTGTTCGAAGACCGGGTGATGTTGAATCAAGTGAGCACTTAAATGGTACAGTAACTTTAAAATGCAATATATAAACTTATATATATACTAATGATTAACATTTTCTATGTCTTTGATATTTTTGGATGAAACCCCATTGACACCATTTATAGTGATATTTTACAGATCCACAATCGCAGGAGTTTTTTACACTCTCAAGGTCTTGCTGAGCACGGACGAGGGTATCTCCTGAAACGCGCCGATTACTGGGAAAGACGCGGGCCTCTCAGTCCTCGTCCACCAATGACAGCCATCGGGTTGAGGCAAGCATCCGAGATGGGCTAATCTACCATGACAGGCACACCTGACATTTCGAACTCATGTATGTCTGGTTCTGTCGAGAGCCCTAGAAAAAACGAAAGAAATGAATCCAGAAACACCCTCGATGAAGCGACTTTCTTGTAAAATTATTCAGTAGTTTTTTTATTGTAGAGTACCCTGTGTTATAAAACAATGCATGCAGATAAAGTCAAATAAATCACAATTATTTGAAACAGTTTTATTTATTTTTATCAGAACAGTATTTAATACATGATAATGTCTAAACAGAACTGGAAAAGAGTTTATTTGATGTAATAGCCATTCAAAATAAGGCATATAAGTGTTTACACACGTACATGGCACGTTTATTGTACTTCTCTCGTGCGACAACAAAGCATTCTTACTTAAAGTTAAAAACATTTTAGCATGTATAACTGTAAAATTCTTATGTATTTCTTTTATTTGAAAAAGTCATGAGTACATTGCAAAATGATCGGATATAATCATTTCTAATACAATGTCGACGCATTCTGAAGCTCATCATATTACTATAAAAATGCACTTTATTATAACTTATTAAAATATGCATGTTAAAATGAAGAAGAAATGCGTTGACATATAAATAAAACAATGGAACTATATAAAAATAATGATATATGCGTTAAAAACTGTGCAAGCAAATAGCATTCATCAGAATTCGTTTCTTAAGCACTTACATTAAGTAAGCCCCTGCTTACCAAACAATTAGATTGGAAATAAGTAAAGACTTTGTCATCGTCTCATGGTGTGATACATTATCTTATGATAAAATATCATGTTAATAGACATAACTACCGCCTTGTTATTTATATATCAATAAAATATATATTCATTCATCACTTCTTTTTCTTCTTTCCGCTCTTCTTGTCTTTTTTGCCTCCATCTTTACCCTTTTCTGCTTTTTTGTTACTTTTCTTATCTTTCTTGTTATTACTTTGTTTTACCGAAGAAGCTGGTCTTGATGACGGGGGTCTTGTTAACCCGGCATCAGTTTTAGATTTTTCTAGCTTTGGTGGGCCATTAATGATAGTATCTTTTAATTGTAAGTTAGTTTTATCCGTAGGAATATAAACTGCAACTTTTACTTGTTCCGCGTCCTGCAAACTCAGTGTCGTTTTCTCTCTTTCTGGCATTGTCTTGGCTCTTTCTATAGGTTTAGGTTCGTTTGTTGTGTTTCCCTTGTCAACGTCATTTTCATTTACATCTTTTTTCTTTCCACCTCCCTTTCCTCCACCACCTTTCTTTACTGGTTTCTTTGCTGCAGCTGCAGTCCCTTTCTTGGATGCTGCCACTTTTCCCTTGGCTGCGACTTTGGTTTTTCCTTTCGCTGGAACTATCGCTTCCGCAGGTTCTGAAAATAATATATAGTATAAAATAAAGACAAGTACTATAGACAAACGCAAAAAAGAGATTTGTATATCAAACATGTTCGTTTTCAATACGATTACATTGAGCTTAATATGAGCGATATAATATTCAAAATGCAAACAGAATTATTGATATATTTAATCATCATTTTCATCACCTTCAAAATTTTCGTCTTCCGATGGTGGTGGATTCCTGTTCCCAAAACAGCAAGATAAGAATGTCCACTCAGTGGGCTGCAAAAGAAATAAAACATTTATAGAGAGTTTAGTGGTTTCATCACCGTTTGCTTAGTCATTTTCTAAAATGATACTGGAAGTAATCACGATCCCTCAACAATTTATAAAACACGTGTATATAATATGTAGTAAAATTAGGTTTCAATACCTTATTTACATTTATAAGCACTATTGCTTATATATCTATTTCAGGTTTCAGATATGAGATGCCCCACATTAAATGACAAAATATTTTATAAATCATTAGAATCCTATTATCCAACTTTCATAGCGTTATACCTTGTCTTGTGGCTTGAGTAGCCCTGCTGGTACACTGACAACTCCCTTTTGACCTTTTTCACCTCCGGGTACGGGAGTACTTGTTAGACGCAGATCAGATTTCATTTTTGTTGGAGCCCTTGTTAATGCCTCACTCTCTGGAAATGTACTGTTTTCAACTACATCGGAAAAAAATATTTATTAATCTTTAAGTTCATATTCTAAAAGCTGATTACAATATACATTTTAAAGGTAAAATCGAAAACTATTGGTTATGATATGAGCTGTTGTAGAAGATTATTACTTAAGTCCTGAAATATTTCCATAGTTACAAAAGATAATTGGTTTAGAAAATATTTTATATACCTACTTATATAACATGTAACTTTCTAATATATACATAAAAATGTTTTGTTTCTCAAAATAATTCATAATGCATACTCGTAAATACATTTTTAAATGTTAGGACATATACAAGAACATACATTATATACAAGGACATAACACTTTTAAAACTCATTAATGTTTCATACCATCTGTTAATGTAACGTCGCCATTTCGTGGCGAATCTTGAGGCTGAACCTTTGATTTGTTTTTATTCTTTTTGCCACCTTTATCCGCTTTTCCCTTTGCCTTTTCGCTACTTTCATCTTTTGTTTGTTTAACATCTGATATTTCTTTCTTTGGAACCTTACCATTTTCTTCTACTTTAACTTCTTCATTTTCAGCTTTTTCTTCTGATTTTTCATTTTTCTCCTTCCCTTTGCCACCTTTTCCCTTTCCTCCTTTTCGTTTGCTTTCTTTCCCCCCTTTTTTAAGCTTCTTTGTTTTCTTCTTTTTCAGTTCCACCTTTTGCAGGTTTCTTTTCTGGTGATAACGACTTTTTTTCTTCAGGCTCAACTGCAAGAAATTTTGAAAGATTCAAAAAATCACTGTCAGTCTAATGCATTATAAGTTTAACGAAACTTGTTGCAATGAAAATTTAAGTTCTTTCTTCAAACGTTAAAACATCTTTGTCTAGACATTTCAGAAACTGCAGTTAATAATTCATTCATATCTCATAAATTAATCGCAATAACGGTGAAAACAGTGTCATGTTCACATGCTCGTTTTATAGTTCCTGCTATTGCCAACCCTTTATTATCAAATTGACAAACATACCCAGTCTAACTGTTTTTACTTCATCCTTTTTCTCGGGACAGCACACAAGGAACGACAAGTCAAGACCCTGAAAATATGTGAAGAATGTTGGTTAAAGTCTCTAGTTTTACACACGAGTCCACTTTAATAAACAGAAGTGTAGTTTAAAATTTAAAAATATAAATTCAAAACATGTACCCAGCAATACTGGTTAATGCATTCATCCAAAAATTATCACCAGAACATGAGTATGACATATATTAATCTATTATTAAACATTCCTGTGTTGTTGTTGTTTTTGTTGTTGTTGTTTTTTGTTTGTTTGTTTTGTTTGTTTTTTTTTCTTTTTTTTATTAAAATGTTTGATATATATCAAAACCATTAACAGACATTAATTATAAAATTATATGTAATATAAATCTAAGGTCGTTTTTGCTTTAAAAATGGCGCTTCTTTCACCTAGTTTGTCTGCCCCTGTCCGTTTGGTTCCCTTTAAGCCATTGTTGCTTTCAGATTTTGTTGGGGTTTCGTAACTTATCTTTGCTCTCCTTTGATGATATTTTTGTCTCATTTTTAGATACACTTACCAATAGTTTAAGCCTAGGCTCTTTGTCATCATCGTCATCTTGAGACTTGACTTTGATTTGATGTACTGATGATCTTTCCGATTTCATATCAAAGCCTATACTTGTTGTTGTTGCCTGTCTTTGCAAGGACTTTTCGAGCTCGCTTTTCTCCCTAGTTAGTGCCATGGTCGAGGAGCGTGTAATTGCACTCATCGACGTTTTTTCTCTCGTCATCTTTGCTTTTGAAGATTCGTTTATTGTCTCGACATGAGCGCTTGTACCATCTGATATATGATTAAGAATATGGTACCATTGTTTCATATCAAATCGGGCTTTATTTATGTAAAGGTTATACAATTTTCAATTCTTTAGAACAATACAGATCAAATTTGTGAATTTTTCCATCTTAAATTTATTTTATTTTCTCTCTCTTTTTTTCTTTATTATATCATGCTTTGTAATAAATCTACACTTTTGTATTGTATATTTTGATTCAGCTTATTATCTATATAGAAAGATATAAACCTCAACAAAATGAGCATTATATTATAAAAATCTGCCAGTTTATATATTGAGAAAAAACTTTGCTTCTACTCTAACTGTTATTGTTTCTGTTGGTGTTTTGGTGAATTTATTTGTTTGATTTATAAATAACAATAGCTATTACTTACTTGACATAATTGGTTTTTCTGCTTCTAGTGTATCAGATTTAATTACACAACAAAAGCATACTTTTCTTCGGCAAAATGGCCAACATGGGGTTTTGCCAAGACATTTATCCAAATGACCACATATAGTTACACAGTGTCCACGTTTGTACAGGATGATGCTGACCACGACAACGGCAATAATGATGACAAGGAGAAGAACGACCACAACGATGATGACAACGTTGCTACTACTATCAGAAGCAGAAGTTGGGGCTGAATAATTATAATAATACTCATCATAAAGTAATGATATTAAATGATAATGATGGTTGTGGTGATGATGATGATAATAATGATGATGTTGATGATACATGATGATGATGATGATGATGATGATGATGATGATGATGATAATAATAATGATGATGATGATGATGATGATGATGATGATGATGATGATTGTACAACAACAACATTAATCATCAAATGAAACACATATCTTAAATAAGATAAGTGAAGTTTAATTCATTCTAAGGAGATAACTTGATAACACGTACAACTTTTTAAAGTTCAGTAATATGTGTTGATTAACATGAATTGAAATTATCTAGCTGATTATGGTCCATTAGAGGTATGGTGTGATTAAAATGTATAAAAGTCATTAATGGATATTTTCTAATATAAAGTATTAAGAGCTTTCAAATAGCATTTTTAATTTAATGGTCTATGCAAAAGAATTTCTCCCAGTTATCCAAGATGTTTACAAATGAATCATACCACAGTTAACTGAAAGTAAAAAGATAAAAAGTAAAATTAAATTATTTTTGTCCGTATAAATACTGACAGATTTTCAATTACAAGTATAACTAAAACCATTTAGAATATGCACACATCAAAAGAAACAAAGTTTTAGTTTTACGGCTCAACAATTTTAACAGAAATTGTATTAAACACAGATACAAACAAAGCATTAAAAATTTAAAATATAAATTTGCAATAATCGGCTACCATTCACTGTGAACCAAATCTTGAATGTTTGAATCCTTAAACAAGAAAAAATCTCTTTGATACAAACCCAAAAAATTTCAGTTTTTTTTAAAATAATTTTTGTTTCGAGAAACCAAAGGCCGGGAAAAAAAGTTTTGTTTTTTTTACTGTAAAAAATTTTAAAAAAAATTTTTGAATTTTTAAAAATAACAGTCTTACCATAAAAAATTTTTATCGAGTAAATATCCTATAACCGTCGTGCCGTCGGCTGCTGTCGGATAGCTGCTGGCTTTCTGGTCTGATGTACAATTACCCGACACTACAGATACCGAACTGCCGTCGGAACACTGGAATTAAAAAAAAAGAAATGACATAAAATAATCTAAATTATGATTTCAATTACGCATTTTTGAAATCTAATATATGTAGTTGGTGTGTCTGTGACAGTACCTGAAAGTCATATTATGCCTCATAAATGCTTTTATTTCTATTTCTTAAAAACTTTTATTGATTAGTGTTCTGCTTTCGTTTCCAAAATTTTAGTAATTCATTGGTCAAGTACCTGAACCATATTATTCTTTATTGTTTTTTGGCAATTTGAACTGTTATAGTGAATTAGTAGTTTTGTCAAAATACCACTTTGTTTACATTTTGCTACTTATATAAGAGACTATTGTACATTTATCGCTACTTTCTTAAGGTAATAACTATTAAGTATCTAACATGCTCTAAAACCACCATTCAGACGTTATAAAAGTCATATTTGCCCTTTCTAAGGAATTCAAAATTTATTCATTTCTGAGGCATAATGAAAGAATGAATCGGTGTTTGCAATTAACCTTATTTTGATATTTAACAACAATTACAAGATGGCGTCACTATAATGTCAATGTCTCCCACATCTTGTTAAAACTGCATCAAATGTGTAGGTATCTTTATCTGTATCCTTAACATCTGTAAGGGGTCTGCTCTCCAAAGTCAGAGACATTAACCATTTGATCATGAAGCCCTTTAAATAGTACTTAATCAATATTATATTAATATTTACCAGACAAGCAAACTGTGAGGATGTCCCTGATATAGATGCATCTCTGTTGTACACCACAGCACAATCGTAACTACCTAAAGAGGCCTTAGCAACACACCATAACTCACCGTCAGCTGTTGGGGACACAAAATATTACAATAAATTACTAATTATATTAACAAATGCTAATGAAGAAAAGCGTTAATTTTAGTGCGCGTAAAGGAACATTGACGAAATTACATTTCTACGAAACGGAAAGAACATGACTTCTTTCACTTAAAATGCACCCTGTATTAGTGCATCCTTACAACAAATCATATCAGTGTTACATAATTACAATTTCACTGACAATATTTAGAAACCATCACAATAGTATAAGTACAATGTTTTCTTCTTAGATATATATAGCTTTGAAATTCTATATAAATCTTTAATTTAAAGATTTGAAGGTATGCCAAACAACACTCATGAAAATATGATAGTGATAATATAGATGTATGGCTGTATACCAGAGTAGGCAATTTCTTGTTTGCAGTTTGTATAGTTATTGAATGACACGCCGTTTTTTTGTGTTTTAATATTATGGTATCACAAATCCTCTGCCCCCCTACTTGATGTATTTATAGTCGCGGTGAGTAAACAATTTGTCTGAGGAAGTGAATTCAGCAGAGTCGGCCATTCCTATAGTTTCATCGAAGTTTTATGTTATTGATATTCAAATATTCAAAATAAATATCCAATGCATGGAATACGCCAGAGCAATTTTAGATAAATGTTTATGTTTTAAAGTTTAATCATACAAGAAAAAATATAAACAAAGCATAATACCATAATGTGTGAAAGCCTAAATTTCAAACCCATGTCAGACAAGAACTATACATAAACAAGATTTTGGAAATCGGTAAATATACATATTTATTGCCCATCAATCAATAAACTCCAATGTTATCTTTAACTGTTATTTAGTATTTTTCTGGTTATGCACAATAGTCCTGCTTTTTTTTGATATTGAATTGTTCCTAGTTTGTTTCTCTAGATGTTAAGTAAAAAGTTGGACTGAGTGAAAGGATTACGACTAATTGTAAATTTGTGGAAACAAAGTGATCCTCGGAAGTATCAATCACAAACAAAATAACATAAGGAATTGCAGACTCGGTTTGATTGCAATTCTGCTAACTACTCTAGAATTTAAGATATTTGACTAATAACTTTCGTAAATAAAAACTTACTCTATTAATACACATTTGGTAAGAAGGAAATGTAAAATTTATAATAAAGAATGTTTGCAGGAAAATAAACTGAGTGAATTAATTTGCATTCTGTAGTGTAAAAGCATCGATACCGTTGTCATAAGATATTTCAAGCTGCTTCTTCTAGGATTTGTTAAAGCTTTAACCTACCTTGTTTTACAAGAACGTGGAACTCTAGGGTCGGTATGCTAACTGACGTATCACATATTGTAGAGACTGTTGATAATGCACTATCAGATGAGAACCATAGCCGCTCATATCCAGCGTTCGGTTGTTGAACTAAAATTTCAAATTTCATTGAACACATGTAGTTACTATTAAAATAGAAAACAAAAAATAACAAGAGGATTATTAAGTGTATCATACACAGCAAAGACGTACATGAACAAGTTATTTAAAGAGCAAGACACAAATCAAACTCACGCGAAGAAAGAATTAAAATACAATAAGTCTGTAAGCCAACAGTGTAACTGTTGTACCTTAAAGTTCCAATACCTACCTTGTTGTAACTTATAGCTATAGGAGTTTGTTGTAATTTGAGTAAGCTTTATACACATGTAGATGAAGATTGTCGTAGTTGAATATGTTATTGAAGTTGTGGATCTAAAACAAAACAAAAAACAACATTTTTTTCATTAAATCAATTAAAAAATCATGACAACATTAAATGTCCAGAAAAGTAAACCTTTCATTTCCTGCAATTTAATGTAAAATAGAAATATGATATGATAGCAGATGTATATCTTGAATTGTCCTCGGTTGATAGACGATACTAAATAGTAAACCGCCAAAAAGCAGTGATTGGCCATTGCTTGTGACTATTTTAAAGGAAATTGCTGTAGGTTTGTTCGTGCCAGCTTACAATCATTTTGAAATACATTATTGAGGTATGTTATCATTTTAAAATTTCCTGTGATACACATTAAGACAATGTAAACATTGAAGGCATCTGTAATACAAAACAATATGTTACTGTGTGGATTTAAGAAATCTAGTGATCTTACTTCAGAACTAGTGTACTAG